TGTGGAAAACCAGCTGTCTTTATATTAACCGTGTGAGGACTGCTTGCGTTATAGTGCGAAGTTGTCTCCATCCCGATTTACGTTTATCGGCGGGGACCAAACTGTGAGAATCGACCTACTAGACGCAGAGTTTTAGGTAACGGTGGTTGGTGGAACAAGTGGTCGGACTCCGTTGGTTAGGGCACGTATTGCGCCTGTCACCTGTTACAGTGAGCAGTTTGTCAAGCCACGTGTTGGGTGTAGAAGAGTAAAAGGTGATCAAACTCAAACCTGACGTGAATGTATGAAAAATCTGACCGGGTGACTTGCTTACATAGACCGCGTTAGGCTTAATGGATCGGGATACTGGGATTGTTGTTAACCAACGGTTAGAGATACCGAGTGATATGGTTTACTGTCGCAACCTTTAGTTCTCGTGTATCTACTCATTATCTTTGCAGGCTTAGTCCATGTGAATTCTCTATCTTCTCTTTGATTCTGCCCGCAACATTCCATTCTTCTGCTTTTTTCAAATAAGCAGTCAAGAGACAGTAACCAAAACCGTTGCACGAAGTGCCTGGTTAATGGTTGTAGAAAACTGAAACTGAACTACCATTTAAAGGTGGCATTGGTTCCTAACATCCGTTGCATTCTTTTTAACATGTCTATACTTGTTCTGTTTTGGGAGGGTGACTAAGGCTATTAAACCTGTGAAAAGTTGCAACTGTTACTTCAAATGTGTAGAGTAATCAACCACTCACATCCATATCAGATGGCAGGTGTGTTACTTCACTGTGTCTATGTACCATCAAAGTGGATCAGGGGTTTGAATAGACCTGGCTGGATCATCGTGTACTGGGAAGAGCGGGTGCTTTCACGCAATTATACAGTCAGAGAAGTTTTCCATACACAGCTCTAACCGAGTTGAGATATCTGGTATACAATTTCCGACTCTTGTAGTATGATTAGTAGTGCAATTATAGTCTTGACGACGAAACTGCGTCAGTCTAGCTTTGTTCCCGGGTCCCGATCCATCGTAATCCATTTGGATCGTTTGTGGTCCGTTGGCCCAGCATATACGGTTGCCACTTATCCAGCGTTCATACAACCGCAAGGCATTCTCATTTAGTGATAGGGTATTTCCTTTCCGTTAGAGTAAGGAACCTACTGGTATATTCAACCAGTTCACTACTGCTCGACGGGTCTCCTCTGGTCTCTGTCGGGACTGTGACGCGTTATAGTATCACCGGAAACTTCAGCACCGTATGATATTGAGCCAAAGGAGTCCTGAATTTCTCTTGTTTGCATAAATCGACCTTCTTGGATAACGCATATGATAATTCTATAGTGGTCGTAAACCCCTCGACGGATCGGCACTGTGGTCGTTTTGATATTGGCACACTCTTTTAGCTTTGGGATTCTCCCCAAAAGTGGTTGTATCTATCTATTTCCCACTTAATGGTCCAGTGAGGTTAGCGTTAGCTTCCAAAGTTGCAACCTCGCCCCACTAATTCTGTGGCTTTATTCGTGGATTTGCTTCAGTATGCCATCAAAGTGAACCACCTGTTCAACAGCTCTTCGGTTGTAGACAACAAAGTCATCACTGTACATCACCACATTTATCATCAGGAGGCGGAGTGTAAGTGGTCCGAACGTCGTTTGCTTGAACCGGTATTGTTTACTGCCGTTTGTGAATATCGTCTCTTAATCAGCTTTACTGATGACCCCTCGTCAATACCAGGAACGTGAACCAACTGTTCAGTAAACGTTTGCTGTTTGCACTTTATCAAAAATGTTTGCCACAAACGGAACAGCGTCATAGCGTCTATTCGGTGAAAATCCACGCAAAACCGGAATGTTCCATCTAGATTTTTGGCCAACAGCATGGAAACGTTATCTTCTGAAATGCCTTGCTTCAAAGTTTGTTCAGCGTGCCAGTTAACGCCGTCCTCCCGAATCATCAAAGGACGACGTAATTCATCAGTTCGGGGATCTGGTTTGATTGGGACGTCGTGTCCGACCCAGCCACACAAGCCACATAGGTCTTCGTCACCTGTGCATCAGATGAAAGCAGCCCTGGCGGAAATGTGCGTGTGGAGGTAATTGCTGCATTCATTGCTGATAATTTCGTCCATTCAAAGCCAATTGGGAGTATCACTCCGAATTTTCTCACACACGGTCCACAGTTCGATTAACCGCGGGCCCCGTTCGACGCGATCCACGCCCTCTTCACCGCGTCCTTGGAATCAACCAGGAAGCTCTAAGTATCTTCATCCTCGCAAAACACAAAATATCTCTTGATTCACAAGTTTAGCAGCAATCTCAGGAATTGTTTATTACAGGAGTGAAATACGTAAAAAACAAATTGAGCAATAGGTAAGCAAACACTCAATTTTGAATAGAGTTATTGCTTTC